GACAAAAGACAAGAAAAAGATATTGAAATATGTAAGAAACTCACAGCAGTGGGATACACCGTCAGCAGTTGCTCATACAATGGTGTTGCCTCCGGTATTGGCAAACGCTAACAGGAAATAATTGGATTTAGTGTTAAATCACAGAGGAAATTCAAATTTAAACTTCATTGAGAGAGGGAGAGGTAGATGAGATGAGACGTGATGTGATGTGAAAACTAAAGATGATATCACACCTGCGCCTCTTTAGCAACGTTTTCTGCCACTTCAACATTGTACTTCAAATCATCCACAAGTTTATTACTGGCTGTTTTATCCTGAACATGGAAGTTACATGCATAAATAGGTTGTAACACACAATGTAACACACAATGTGCCACACTAAGAGACAAAGGGAAGCGGCAATCCTGGACTTCCTTCTTCCTTCAAAGAAAAACTTACTAAAGGTATCAATCCAACAACAATCATTAGTTAACCATGAGTATTGAATATAGTGTAAAAGGCTCTTGGATCCTTATCCAAGTAGTCATATATTCCACAGATTAAGAATAGTCTATTAAGAAAAGAAAAAAAAAACTTCTCACCGATGTTTACAACCTATAGAATAAATCATGTTCGAGTAAGGTCGTAACTTCTCACTGATATAGACAAGACAAATATAAAAAAGAGAGGAAAGTGATCCCAGAGCTCAGAAAACCCAATCCAATCGGCATTAATTACATAGAGATACAATTACAAAATGAATTGGAGAGGGAAGGAATACCATATTAAACTTACCAAATGTCCAAACCAAAGAAACTTTAGACCTTAATCATAAATTCTCAAACAGGAAATTAATTATTTCTAGTATAATTGGGTTTTGTTCGAATACTACTCTTAATTTCCCTTAAGACTCTTGATTCATGAAATTTTGTTAGACTACCGCAAAAAATTAGTACTGCACGTAATAAAGACTAAAGCAAGTGGACAGCCACAAATCCAACGGCAGTAATACTAAGCATAACAAATTACAACAAACTCATTATTAGGAAGATCACCGTCGTCTATAATGGTCACAAGTTCCGACTATCCATCACCCCTACCAACAATAAGAATCTCACTACCTTCTTTCAATACTCAAGCACACATTACTTCCATGGGCGTAAGTGTCGAGTTACGCTTGTCCAACAAACTAACCATTCAACTGCTACCTTCGTGCCCTTTTCTCTCTTCTGACATACATAAAATATGTCAAGTTACCCATGTTTCATGCTCCATGTCATTCACCGCCTTGTTTATACCCATATAGGCTTTTTACTTCACCCTGGAAATCAACTTAATCTACAATGGCTTGAGAAATTGTAGCCACTCTCCTCTAGTTGATTTGAAGTGAATTGCAAGAATATGGACTAGAGGCAGAATTGCGTTTTTGGGCTCAATATAAGAAAGAGACTCCACCTATGCCTAGCCTTACAAACATGGCTCCATTGACCCATCTTCTCCTCTAAACAACTATGCCTAGCCCTTACTGCACGTCGTTATCCTTACAATCCTCTAGTTTCTGAACATTTTAGTTACACAAACATCTCATAATATCCTGAAACATTTTTCAGAGAGGGAGGTTGAAGAACATTCATACCTTTGATTCAGATCCCTCTGATGTCATAATGAAGAGAGTGCGTGAAAATAGAGTTGTGACGGTATAAGTTATACTGGTCTGCTTAGCTGAACAAGAAAAGAAAAAATCAGCGGAAATCCGATAAGCTAAAACAATAAAAACCCATCTGTGCGGCTTGTTAGTTAAATGCGGCTTCTTAGGTGGGAACGAACCAGCACCGGGGTATTCTTAACAAGAAGGACAGACGCACCGTTAAGGACAACCGGACGGCGGCGGTCTCAAAGGCGACAGCAGTCGGTTTCCGCGATTAGGGTTCGTCGGGACCCTCGGGTGAGGAAGACGGAGCGCGGATCGCGGGTCGGTTCTTCGACTGTCCCGTGAGTTCGCCTCAGCCAGCGTACGGCCCGTGCCTTGCAGCCCGCGCTCAGACACCAACGCTGGGCCGTTATCCATCCCGGCCCAAGACAGCTACACCAGCCCGCGTCCAGAAGCCGAGCGTCGCCAGTAACCTTCTCGACTTATCGGCTCCGTCGGCGGCTCGGCTCTGCTCGGGGCGTGGCTAGACGGCTCGATATACGAATAATATACGGATTCCTATGTTTTCGAGCCTTCCGGGGCTATTCTTGCCTTTGTTCCGGCCATCTAAGGTCAGTATAACTCCACTTTGATAAAAACAGGTTATCATAGGGGCGTATCTTGACGGTTAGGCATAAAGTTAGTTGCAAATGGGCTCTAAGTGTATAATGTGGTTTTATAGAGAGTAGTTAGGCATTGGAGTTAGCATATCACGAGTGACTTCGGCCAAGGCTAGGGAGGTAAGTACCTTACTGTTGGCGTTAGTTATTTATGTATGACGGTTCGTGTCCTATGGCCCTTGCATGCACCATGTATGCTATGTCATGTTTTTTTTGCTGTGAAATGTCGATGTATGCCACGTTTATGTATATGATGCTTTTTGTATGAATTGTTACCCTGTACACATGAAATTGATTGACATGTCATGATTGTAATGAGAACTTCACATGTCATGAATGTGATGACTGGCGTACTACGATATGCTTACATGATATTTAACCAAGTCATGCTATATAATGCAGCGAGGGGATGGAACGTTGTATGTATAATGTCATGGAGGTAAGTTTTAGGGACCTCATGCATGTTGTGTGTCATGTGCATAAGGTTACTTCCCCATTATGTTAATGATGGTACAGACGCGTACATTTGATATTATGCTTGCTATGATATCATGCAGGCCCCTCCTTTTTCCGTGGTGTGCGATAACGTATCATGCGTACCCGACCAAGCCAGACCCAAGGGGTTTGCATGCGAACCCGCCTAGTGGGCCCTCAGTTACATATGTGGGCCATGTGTGGAGAAGTACCATGCATCCATCCTGCCCGGATAAAGCAAGGGCCTAAGGCCATGTAAAGGAATGGAAGACAAGTCCCCCTCACGCTCTTTTTTTCTCTTTTGTGCTTGTGCATGTGTTGAATGTGACGGTTCTGAATGTGTATTGCCTGCCTAACCCCAACAGTGGGGCAACAGACTGGGTATTTTGTAAAATACTCAAGCCATGTGTTACTTATATTTTCAGGTAAGGGCAAGACTCCCATGTACGGTTGACGGCGGATGCTACGAAGACCATGGAAGTCTTAGGGAAGGCTTGTAGGGCAGTAGATGTTGTGTTTGAGATTCTTCGAAAAATAATTGTTGCATTCATTTCTCCTAGTTAGTTGTTGATTGATTTCCGTATTAGGTTGATCCTTAGTGCTATGAACTACTGATAATAATGAACGTGTCATTGATCAATAAGACGATGAACTATCGATAATAAAACGCAATTTTTTTGGTTGATTTTTTATTCATTCATCAACTTAAAATAATAAATTTAAAAAAGTTAAATTAATTAAAAAAAATGTTAAATGTCTAAAAAATATCTTTCAACTTTCACCGTACTATTCTTAAACTTTCAGGGGACCGTATTAATGATAAAGGATATTTTTAAAATAAAAAAAAAAAGTTGAATTGTATTTTTGAAACCATATTAAACGTTGATATTAAAAGTTAAAAGGTATTTTTTAGATTTTGTGGAAAGTTAAAAAAGGATATTTTCTAGACATAATATATTTATTAATTTAGAAATTATACAACTACCCAAGTAAATTATGTCATTTTTTTTTTCTTACTCGAACCTTTTTGGAGTTGAGAATTAAAAAACTCAACTCAAACAATTTAAACAAAGTACACAAGACAATTATGACACTTTATAATAAAATCTTTGAAAATTTTAATTTAATCAATTTACATAAATGACCATATTGTATAAAAGTTTTCAATTTTGAAGTCCAGAATTGGCTTGAAATTACTTACGTATCCCTAAAATTATTTTGTAATTAATGTATAGTTTAAAAGGAAAGAAAAAGGGAAATAAAACAAAATCAGGTCTAAAAGTGTAAAATCACTCAAGTTAATTTTGCTAATTAATTAATTAACAATTTTAATTAACAATTTTAATTAACAATATAGAACTAATTTTTACCGATCCCTAACATATATCTCTGCATAAATGCACGTATATATCGTATACAAAACCAAAACCATTGTGATATATTATATAATACTAGGTACATATTTACGAAATATTAAGACCTCGTTTGATAGACATTTAATTTTTTATATTTTATATTTAAAAATGAAGCCTATAAATACAATCTACAATAATTATTATTATTATTATTATTATTATTATTATTATTTTTTTTTTTTACAATTTGACTAATAAAAACCAAATCAATTATTTCTCAGAAAAGATAAAAACTCGTTTTGAAAAATGATTAAATAAACAAAAAAAATCAATTAATTTTCAATATTTGCAATTTTTTTAAAAATAGGAAAACACAAGGCTAGATGAAATATCTCATAAACCCATTTTTTTCAAAGTATAGTTTGATTAAAAGAATTAATACATGAAGAGAAAATCAGAATAATTTTTTAAAGAATAAAAATAGAGACAAAATTGAAAATGACAGACAATAGAAGTCCCAAAAAGCCCATCTTTTAACACACAAATCCTACAGAAATATCATTCTGCTTCTCCTCCCCATCCCCCAATCGAAAAAAAGACGTTATCCAAACACATTTCAAGTAACTGTAGTAAAACTTGATAAGTTAGATCCTTCCGCTTTTCTGGCCATACAAACATATTTAAATAATTGTCGTTCTATAAGACTATAATAAACACACAATTTTTATTTTTCTTCTAAACGAATACAACACCCTACCCTACAATACATTATTTTTAGTTCAACAAAAATCTATAATATCGTATTCGATACCTTACCCACTAAAGTATGCTCGAATTCATGGCGAAATTTGTCACACCAGACAACACTGCGCCACATGAAAATGCAGATAACACTTAAAAAGTTTCATAAAATCTATATATCTATAATGACATGAAGCAGGAGGGGGTCAAGAAAAAGATTAGTATATGTACATTTCATGCAGCTCTCCGATTCTTTGTACAGTCCAGTCAGTTTCAACTTCACTTACATTGAGAAATGTGATCTCCACAGGAAGAAGACATGAAAACGCCATCCGGTGGTAGGGAAATGACTTTCCAATGCAAGCCCTTTAAGCATCTTCATGTGTTTTGGCTTTATTGATTGATTCCATGGCTTCTTCAAACGATTTCTGTAAGGAAAACAAACATTTCCAGTCACATAAAGCATTCCATAAACACAAACATTGCTAGAATAGTTTGCAATAGTTAGTTAGTCGTTATGTAACAACACAAGCCCACTGCTAGCAGATATTGTTCTCTTTGGGTTTTCCCTTTCAAGGTTCCCCTCAAGGTTTTTAAAACGTGGCGGCTAAGGAGAGATTTCCACACCCTTATAAAGAATGCTTCGTTCTTCTCCCCAACCGACATGGATCTGTAAAATCTATGAATAATATACGTTGTTTTAAAAGTAATTTTAAACGTCTATATGGTTTAAGAGTCTACTAATAACATATTTGTGCATATTCTATTTTGGTTTATAAGCTTTTTAAACATTATGTTTTACTCCACGAACCATTCGGACAATGGCACATTTTTTATTATCTCATCAACATGTGTCAACATGGACAATCGTTCAAATCCCCATAGTAGGTCAAGTGTCTAAGTTTCCAAATTAATTAAGTTTTTTGTTAAAGGATCAAAAGTTCAATGACGAAGGCTAGTTTTTTATGCAAGGTCTAGGGAATAAAACATAATATTTGGAAACGCAAAGGCCAAGACAAGCATGAAAATTCAGGGACCAAAGTCGTAACTATGCTCAAAACTATTAATAAGAACATACAAGTATGATTCGAGTTTTTTATGCAAGGTTTAGAGAATAAAACATAATATTTGAAAACGTACAGGCCAAGACAAGTATGAAAATTCAGGGACCAAAGTCGTAGCTATGCTCAAAACTATTAATAAGAACATACAATTATGATTCGAGTTTTTTATGCAAGGTTTAGAGAATAAAACATAATATTTGAAAGCGTAAAGGCCAAGACAAGTATGAAAATTCAGGGACCAAAGTCGTAACTATGCTCAAAACTATTAATAAGCATACAAGTATGATTTGAGTTTTTTATGCAAGGTTTAGAGAATAAAACATAATATTTGAAAACGTAAAGGCCAAGACAAGTATGAAAGTTCAGAGACCAAAGTCGTAACTATGCTCAAAACTATTAATAAGAACATACAAGTATGATTCGCAAAATCTGCAAAAGTGCAGGATATTTCATCACTGGAAATGTGCCATTTTGGTAGGGGTAAATTGGGAGCGAGGTGGGGAAGAGAACAAATAATTACATACCCCAGAATTGTGCATCTTCCACAAGGCCTCCCCACTTGTGTCAATTGCAAACATGCCACCAACTAAAACACTGCAAAAAAATGTAACACTTCCCAGTCAAAGAGCACAGGCTCAATAAACTCAGACACTGTAAACATTGAAAGAGTATAATTGGAGTTGAAGAAGGCTCCAAGATAAACTCAAACTCATAAATTATTCTCAATTTTACATACAATAACCAAATCATACAGCAGAGTTCATATTCACAGCTTGACAATGAAACCAACGTCCATGTCTAATGCAAGAAAATAAAATAGTATAAGCTCCGTTTGAAAACTATATTTATCTTTGGTTTTGAAAATTAAGCTTATAAACACTACTTTCACTGATAAGTTTCTTTCTTTAATTATCTACTTTTTACATATACCAAAAATCAAGCCAAATTTTGAAAGCTAAAAATGTAACTTTTGAAACATTCGGTCACGGTTCAAGAATCGTCCAATTTTTTGGTTCCTCTGGTTTGTTTTGTTTTCAGTCCCTTTGAGCAGCCAGCCTTTTGTCCATTCTCCAATTTCTACTTGGGGCAACTTTCAAATTCAATTGTTTCAGGGGAAAAAAGCAGATTCATACGACAGTAAGAACTGGTTTGTCGACCTTATCCAGGGAACAAAAACCCTCCCCACAAATCAAATGTTCCAAGAAATTCTTGCTACTATTGAACCAAGGGGTTTAGCTAAGAATATTCACATGTTGTCCATCAAATACACACTATTCTGTGTATAATTTAGTTAAGGTATCGACTATTTAGAAGGAGTTTATATGATCTCTGGAAGGGTAAAAATGATACAAGAATTCAAAAAACGTTTAAAAGAATTAATAGTTTTACATGAAGTATTGCAGTATCATCATCGAGCAAATTCACATACTAAATTATAACGAACACTGAAGCTTAAGTGGAGAATCGGGGAATAAATTTTGGGCTGAAAACAGCGTAGATGAAGAAGCACCAGGATATAATCCAAAAGCTTGAATTGAAAAAGTGAAGAACCAATCAACGGTGACAAATATATCCAATCAACTAATTGGAAAAACGGATGCAAAATCAAGATTCAGGATTGCAGAAGTGCAGATACATTTACGCTTTCTTCAACAGATATACACTTGTTTCCGAAACGGAAATTTAGACATGGAAAGACGAGCATTTCTCTAGCGAAAGTAAGCGTCGAAGCAAGTTGCTATCAGAATTCAAAACATAAATCGTATTGGAAGAAAATATTAGGGTAACGAATGAATACCCGGCGAAAGCCAAATTGAGAAGAAACGCACGCGTGGTGAGAAACCGGAGCAGCATATGAAAATTCGTGAACAAGCCATCGACATTAGAACCAGAGCGAGAGGCAAATCCAGAGGAAGAACCATATCCATATCGGGGTCCACTCCCGTTAGCATAGGAATTATACGACGAGTAATAATGTTGATTAACAGACGGACCAGAAGCACAACGAGATCGAATATTATAATCAGCACGCTTACAATCATCGCCAAGAATCTCATACGCTTCCGAAACCTGTTTGAATCTCAAAGTAGCGGAGTCCCTAACGGACTTGGGCGATTGGGAGTGCTTATCAGGGTGAAATTCCTTCGCCAGCTTCCTGAATGCCTCCTTGACTTCTTCCTTCGTCGCGCTTCTGTTCAAGCCCAGTACCTTGTAGTGATCGCGAACATCCATGGCCGATTATTCTCTCCGTTCACAATTACAGCGGCGGGAGATGAATCCTTCAAGAAATGGAGTTGACGACGATGGGAATCGCTTCTTCTTCAGGAAATTCCGGAGTCGACGAGCTTCCATGGAATGGAATCGAAACTCTGGCTTCTCGGAAGAAAGTTAGGTTCGCGGCAAAAAGGACATCGTGGCGGTGCAATGGCCACTTCTCTGAGACTTTGTTGAATAACTCTTAAATTACAAAAAAAAAATAATAATAATAATAATAATAATAATAATATATATATATATATTCTATTAATAATAATTATTAGATAGATTATAAATATTAAATATTATTAATCTTGGTAATAATTAGGTTGAATGGTAATTCACTGGGCCAAATTTTTTATTTTTCAAATATTTGGTTGATTAATATTTTTAATTATTTTTAAAAAAATTATATTTATTCACGGTACATGTTACATTAATAATTACATTAACCTCAGTTATAAGTTAATTACTATTAATCTTGACAATAATCAGTAGAGTTTGGGTTGGACTGTAACCCTATTTTTGGGTTAGTTGGGTTGACCCGACTAAAAAAATGTCAACCCATGAACCAACCTGAAATTTTCAACAAATTTATAGTTTAGGTTGAATGATTCGAATTTGTTCGATAATTTGATTACATGAACACTCCTACTTTTTCACGGAAACATGTTGAGCAACATTCTTAGCTTGAGTGAAAAATCACTGGCATTCTTTGTTAGGTCGTGAGCTGATATGACCTAACTCTTTTGAGTGGTTTACTTTTTTAGTTTCTTTTAGCTTAACGAGTCGGGTTCAAATTAAATAGTTCAAACAAGCTTATTTCAATATTTGAATTCATAATATCTAACTCTTTTAGGCTTATCTCAATCATTGGTACCGCATCAGCTAGTTCATATGAGCTTATCTTCATCACACATAAATAAAGGTACGATGCAACCTTGTAATCATTTCATATATGAATCTTAAACTCGTAATTCGAACAGCTACACCATATAATATTTTATACTGTCTAGGACCCAAGTAGGATATCACATCATATATATATATATAAGGAGTGACTAGGGCATGACCCTAGTAGGATCATTTCATATACATGCAAGCAGTGACCGTATAGTCGTTAGTGCACAACTCAAATAGAATCGGGTATATTTAAGAAGTGATCTTATATGTATGTGCATACAGTGTAGGGCACGAATCTAGTAGAATCACATCATATACACACAAGTAATGACCTTATATGCTTAGAATTAACTTTCTCCCATTTTTTTCAGTCTAATATTTGTTCTCAAAAGTCGGATGAACTGGGTTAGAAAGATGTGATTCCTCAAGGAAGTCTCGGGCTCTTTCTGTTGGATATAATTAATCAGACAATGGAATTGTGAGACTTCGTAGTCCAACCTAGATAAAGCATTTCTATGCACTGTATGCTTCAATTGGCTCGCACAAAAACTCCTAAATCAATCCCGAGACTTTCCTTCCACCTCTCCTTATAATCGAAACTTGTTCAAACATTACTCCTAGAGAATTACCAAAATAAAAATTCTATTTCTTTTCCAGAAGAAAATTAAGTCATTACGTGATGATTCGTCGTTCGTGGTAGGCATAGGAGTCAGACAAAGCGCCCAGTAAGCCACCAACTCAGCCTACAGCTCGACCTCTACTTTTTGAGGCTGACTCTACCAATGTCTCTAACCCTTTAAAAAAAAAAATTGTAAAATAAAATTGAAAGATATTAATGAAAGTTACCAATTTCGATCCTATTTTTTAAATTATTTTGGAATTTTAAGAATATTTTTAAAAATATTAATGAAGAAATGTATTTTAATTTTCTTTCAAAATTATTTATTTAAAAAAATGTAAGGGATATGATTGAAAATCTAAGATGCTAATTTCAATGAAGAGTAATGTCCACAGCAAGAAAGACAAGCATAGGCACAGTCATGGCACGTGCGATGAGTAACTTTTTTTGGCACGTGAGAGACAGAGTGACACGTGGCGCATTAATGTTAAGGAAAGTAATTAGGTCCCAACGTTCATGAGGGGGCGCTGACTCAGACCTAACAGTGCAACGTTCATTTTGGCAGAAAAAGAAAACATCCCAACACTTCACAAACAACCACACAAAAAAACAACCACTTGCCTTTTTTATTATAATCAGTCCATTTCTCTCTCTCTCTCTCTCTCTCTCTAAAAATAATAAAATATTATTAAAAAAATACAGTAAGTCAACTCGAGTATAGTTCAGTAGTATCTCATGTTCGAGATTTAGTATATGGATTCGACTCGTGGTTTTGATATTTTCTTACATCAACTCGCTTAAATTTCTGATACGTTGGCACAATTGATCTTGAGGGTAGACATCGAAGAGCCCTGGTATTAAAGTACTAATCTTTTGAAAAAACATTGCAACTAAGCACTTAACCCTCGTTGAATCATTCATTGATCAGTTTAGGAGCTTAACCCCCGTGAAAGAAAAATGCTAATACACGAACCCTTATCGGGAATTGAACCCGCACTTTCTTTTCACTTGTTCTTTGAATCTTTGATTTGTCCTTCGGGTTACTCTAAACTAAAACTGCAAATTTCATATTGGAGAACGAAGAATCAAGGAAAAAAAGATACCCGAGGACAATCTTTTTCTCGATTTTCTTTCATTGTATTTAGATGTAGTATCGAATTATTCATATGCCCGTGAATCCTAATAAACTAAAACTTTATGATTGTACTAATGAAAGAAAAAAATAAAAAATTATAGGAATTAAATTAAAACTTTAAAATGTTTTTAACTTTTTTTTAATTATTATTTTAATGTAAAAAATCATCTGACAAAAAATCTTCGTGTAGTCGAAATAAAAAAAACAAAAAAATCAGATTAAATTAAATATTAAGATAAAACCAAAAAAAAAAAAAAAGATTCCCTTTTCGAGTGGTTTTAACTTTTAACTCCCTTTTATATTTATTTATTATTTTATTTTATTTAAATACGTTAAAATTTAGAGCGGCAACAATGAAGTCAGAGGCATAGAGACGTTGGACCAATAAACTTTTAATTATTAATTTACCTCCCTCTTATTTTACTATTTTTTTAATTAAATTTATTTTCTCGTCAAATATTTTTTATATTCGTAATAACGTTGGATTGTGAACTCTATTTTTTTGGCTAGTCGGGTTAATCCGACAAAAAAGTTTCAACCTACAAATCGAACCGAATTTACCTTTATTACTAAGGGTTAGAGTAGTCTGAATTGTTCGAGACCATTAATTTTTTTATTAAGTTATAAATTTAATCCCTATAAATTGAAAAAAAAAAAGAAATTAGTTCATATAATTTTAAATGTTAAGATGAGTGTATTAAAACTAATTTTTTTAAAAAAATTATAAGAAAAAACAAATTTATAATCAAATTTTTATTTTTATCCGTTGGATTAAAATACACGAAAAAAGAGATTAAAATGGAAATTTTAACCGTGATCATAAATGCGAAGTCCAGTCAAAAAGTCGGAGCGTGGAAGGAAAATTGGTACGATCCCCGTTGTAACGATTCATTGTGTGGACTCCACAATCTTCATGCTCTTCCACGTGGCAATTTGTCTTACGTGTCACTCATGACGTGGCCCCAGGCGCCCTCTCAACTTTCCCCCCTTCTTTTAAAAGCCCTTGAGAGGGGGCTTTACTCTTTCATTTTCCATTTTGCGAAGCCACTGGGCATTGAAGAAAAAAAAAGTGGTGAAAGAATCTCTACCGAAATTTCATTGATCTCTCTAAATTTCTTACTCTGTTCTTGAATCGAGAAGTTTCAGATCCGTTCGAGGTTAAAAATGGCGGAGAATTGCGTTCGAAAGCTCTTCGTCGAGATCTGTAACGCCAAGAACTTGATGCCGAAAGACGGTCAAGGAACGGCTAGTGCTTACGCGATTGTGGATTTCGACGGGCAGCGGAGGCGGACGAAGACTAAATTCCGAGATCTGAATCCACAGTGGGACGAGAAGCATGAGTTTCTTGTTCACGACACGGAGACTATGGAGTCGGAGATTTTGGAGGTCAATTTGTACAACGATAAGAAGATGGGGAAGAGAAGCACGTTTCTCGGTAAGGTAAAACTCGCCGGAAGTACTTTTGCGAAATCTGGATCTGAAACGCTTGTTTATTATCCTTTAGAGAAACGTAGCGTGTTCTCTCAGATCAAGGGAGAGTTAGGGCTAAAAATTTATTATATCGATGAAGATCCACCTGCTGGTGGTGTTTCTGAATCTGATCAGAAACCGGAGACTGTTACTCCAGTAGCCGAAGAGAAGCCACCGGAGAATCAGGAGGGAAAAGTAGCGGAAGTCAAGGAGGAGGAGAAGAAAGAAGAAGAGAAGCCGAAGGAAGAACCAAAAGCAGAGGAGAAGTCTAGTGAAAATCCGCCGGAAAATTCGAAACCAGAGGAATCCCCTGCTATTGAACCAGAGAAGCCTGCAGAAGTGGAGAATCCGCCGATTGCACATACGGAAAAGCCAATGAAGATGCAGAAGGCGAAATCGGAAGCGGAAAAAAGAGGCGATCTAAGCGTAAACGGTCTCGAACTTCGCTCTCTGTCGAATGATCGAAGCCGCAGCGCGTACGATCTTGTCGATCGAATGCCGTTCCTCTACGTACGCGTCGTTAAAGCAAAACGTGAATCTACAGAAGGTGGATCCTCCATTTACGCAAAGCTTGTGATCGGAACTCACAGTATCAAAACGAAGAGCCAGAGCGAGAAAGATTGGGATCAAGTGTTCGCATTCGACAAAGAAGGATTGAACTCAACGTCTCTGGAAGTTTCCGTTTGGGCGGAGGAGAAGAAAGAGAACGAAGATCAGTTAACGGAAAATTGTTTGGGAACGGTGTCGTTTGATCTGCAGGAGGTTCCGAAAAGAGTCCCACCGGACAGTCCTCTGGCTCCGCAGTGGTACTCTCTAGAATCGGAGAAGTCACCGGGAAATGACGTCATGCTCGCCGTTTGGTTGGGGACTCAGGCCGACGAGGCGTTTCAAGAAGCTTGGCAGTCGGACTCCGGGGGGTTGATTCCGGAGACCCGAGCCAAAGTTTACCTCTCTCCGAAGCTGTGGTACTTGAGATTAACGGTCATCCAAACCCAGGATTTGCAGTTTGCTTCGAAGTCCGAGCCTAAGGCTAGGAACCTCGAGCTTTATGTCAAAGGCCAGCTTGGGCCACAAGTTTTCAAAACGGGAAGAACCTCAGTCGGCTCGGCCTCATCCGGCTCGGCTAATCCAACATGGAACGAGGATTTGGTCTTCGTAGCAGCGGAGCCGTTTGAGCCGTTTTTGGTGGTGACCGTAGAAGATCTGACAAACGGACAGTCAGTGGGCCAGGCGAAAATCCAGATGGCAAGCATCGAGAAAAGGACCGACGATTGGACGGACACAAAATCCCGATGGTTCAATCTTGTTGGAGACGAAAACCACCCTTACACCGGGAGAATCCACCTCCGAATCTGCTTAGAAGGCGGATATCACGTGCTTGACGAAGCCGCGCACGTGATCAGCGACGTCAGAGCCGCCGCAAAACAGCTGACGAAACCACCGATCGGACTCCTCGAAGTCGGAATCCGCGGCGCCACAAATCTCCTCCCGGTGAAAACAAAAGACGGTACACGTGGCACTATCGACGCATACGTGGTCGCCAAATACGGACCGAAGTGGGTCCGAACCCGCACAATCCTCGACCGATTTAATCCACGCTGGAACGAGCAGTACACGTGGGACGTCTACGACCCTTGCACCGTCCTCACGATCGGCGTCTTCGACAACGGCAGATACAACCGTGAAAACGACGCCGGTTTGAAACAACCCGGAAAAGACCTACGGATCGGTAAGGTCCGGATTCGACTGTCGACACTGGACGCTAATCAGGTGTACTCAACCTCATACTCCCTTACGGTGTTACTCCCGACCGGCGCCAAGAAAATGGGAGACCTCGAAATCGCCGTCCGGTTCACCTGCTCCTCGTGGCTAAGTCTAATCCAGTCCTATTCAACCCCAATGCTCCCAAGAATGCACTACATCCGCCCATTGGGTCCGGCCCAACAAGACATCCTCCGCCACACCGCCATGAGAATCGTAACTACCCGGCTTTCCCGGTCCGAACCGGCCATGGGTCAGGAAGTGGTTCAGTACATGCTCGACTCGGACACACACGTCTGGAGCATGCGAAGGAGCAAAGCCAATTGGTTCCGCGTCGTCGGTTGTCTCTCACGCGCCGTCTCTCTAGCCCGCTGGTTCGACGGGATTCGCACGTGGATCCACCCTCCGACCTCCATCCTCGTCCACGTGCTCCTCATCGCCGTCGTGCTATGCCCCAGTCTCATCCTCCCCACCGTCTTCATGTACGCGTTTCTAATTCTCACACTCCGTTTCCGTTACCGGCACCGGCATTCCCACAACATGGACCCCAGATTGTCGTACGTGGACTTCGTCAGCGCCGATGAGCTCGACGAGGAGTTCGATGGGTTCCCCACCACACGATCTGGGGACCAAATTCGGATCAGATACGACAGGCTGAGGGCGCTGGGTGGTAGGGCCCAGGTGCTGCTGGGTGACGTGGCGGCGCAAGGGGAACGATTGGAGGCGCTGTTTAACTGGAGGGATCCGAGAGCCACAGGGATTTTTGTGGTGTTGTGCTTGGCGGCATCGCTGTTGTTCTATGCGGTGCCGTTTAAGGTGTTTTTGTTGGGCTTTGGATTTTATTACCTCCGCCATCCCAGGTTTCGCGATGACATGCCGTCGGTTCCGGCTAACTTTTTCCGACGGCTGCCGTCGCTTTCCGATCAGATTATCTGATGATGTTGTCAGTCGATTATTATTTGTCGGTTAACCTCTTTTTTTGGGGTTAATTATGATTATGTTTTGGTTACTGGTTTATTAATTATATTAATTAGTTTGTTTATTCTTCATTGGAAATCAAAATTTCACCTAAACTCAAAATAGCGGTAAATAATTAGCTACAAAAATTACTGCACTTTTTAAATAACTTTAAAAGTAAAAAGTCTAAAAAAATATCTTAATTATTAATTTTAAATGAAAATTATTAATAATTACGGTTTAAAAAATATCCCCTTTAAATTATTTTAAATTTTTTTACAAGTAAAAAATAACTGTTAGTACAATATTTTAAAAAATACATATTAAAATTTAAAATTAACATTGACACCCTACAAAAAAAAAAAAGTTCATAGATATTAATGTTACTTTTAAAAATTTATAAATTTGTTTGAGACGTGTATTAACCGTAACAATAATTTTAAATTTTGTAAAAGACTTTAAAATATTTTTGAAATTTTTAAAGATATTAATAAAAAAAATTTAAAATGAAAAGTATTTTGAAATATTTTTCAAATAAAACACTGATATTGTTTTTGAAATAAAATATTAACAGTTACATTTTAAAATTTAAAAAGTATTTCTGAGATAAATAGAAATGTATTTTTATTGATTATCCTTAATAATAATAATGATTATTTTTGTTTATTTATCATGATTTTAAAATGGGGGTGGAGAAGGTTACCGTTGGAAGGTGGCTATCTTTACAGCATTTATGGTATACACCGCCCCGCGCCGACCACGTAGAGTGACCGTTGCTGGAAAAAGAAAAAGCCTATTTTCTAAATAATTAATAGACTTCAAAACTTGCTTTTTTAAAATATTTATTAATTCATATAAAATTAAAATAAAGCTCAATTTCAGATTCTCCAAATTTTAAAAATAAATTCAAATGTTTCCCAAAATAATATAATTTTTTTTGTGCGTTAAACGATTTAAATGCTTAGTTATTTTTGTTTAATATATATATATATATATATATTTTTGACAAAAATTTAGTAAAATGGAATTAATGGAAGTTTTATCATTAAACTTATTATAATATTCAAATTAGAGCCAGAAAATAGTATTAAAGAATTACGACTCTCCACAATGGTATGATATTTTCCACTTTAATTTTAATTCAGATTTACCCGTAACATTTTATTTTAACCTTAGTTTGACTCTCGAGGATGGTATGTATTAAAGAGTCACGACTCTCCACACGGTTTAAGACTATCTTCTTTTTTAATAACTAAATAATAATCAACCATGTGGGACCCACTTGCTTTTCTAAGAGATTTAATAATGGGCCTAACTTTCGGAAATCTCAAGTTTAAATGGGCCTCAATTTCCACAAGAAATTGGCCCATTTATGTTACCTCAAGATCTAATTTTTTTAAAAAAATAATTTATTTATTTATTTGGTATATTTTCTTACCATATTAGAACGGATTAGAATGGATAATCCATCCAACGAAAAGTTTTAGAATGGATTATCTTGAATCTTGATGATCAAAATCATGTGTAAGCAAAACTCGTGATTCGAATCACTCTACAAGAAATTTGATCGACACCACTTAAACGTTTGAAAGTTTAAAAATAGAAAAATTTGCAAAATAAAAAACCTTAGCTCACGGACTTAAAAAAAACTATTAATGTTGAAGTTATGCGAAAACTAGGTTTTTTTTTTCATACATGCATGTTCACTTGATTGTTACTCTACATGACTCTCTACCCTAAGCCAAGTCTTAAGCTCGATCTTGTCTCTACAAAAGACCAAGGTCCTTCAAATGCAACGGTGCGTCTCATTTTATTGTTTTGATTCTCAACAACACGGGCTACGTACTTCGTGATGTCATCGTAAGTCCTAGGATGAAGAATTGTCTAAAAAAGGCGAATTACATGTTCATTATCGAGCTATTCTTGCCAAATAGAAACTCTTCTCAAAATCTCAAAAGGTCGAGAATTTGTGATCGATCTGAAAACGATCTGCTTCCATGATCAAAATGGATTATGTGTATCGAAGGATGGTGAGAGTGAATCTATCTACTCGATTCATTGAGAGTGAATCTATCTAACTCGGTTCATTCATCTGACCGTAGACTATAGCCACTTCAAATGTGAACCCTCGTTTTAGAACTAAAAACTCTCCGAATGGAATAGTTCCGCCTCATAGACAAAATTCATTTATATCAAATGGTATTTTAATAAAATAATAATTTAATGTCAACTTTCTATTGATCAATTTCAACCAAATATTTTACTTAATTGATAATTCTAAGCCCAATAAGAGTAAATTTTAAAAGCTTAAAAGCTTCAAATTTAATATATTAAAATGATAAATTATTTATTTACATATAAATGGCAACTAACGATAAATAAATAAAAATATATTATATATAATTACACGTCAACCATATTTAAAATCAAATTGTTGATTTAATATTGACTACTTCTTCCAATAATAATAATATCTTTGGTTTGGTTGACTAAATGGAATCTCTCCTTATAAAATATTTTCCATTTATATAAATACTCAAGAAAACGACTTTTTAAAATAAAATAACAAAATATTTTTTATGTATCTATTTAATCTCAGAATTAAAAAAAAAATGTTTATCTAACCAATAAAATAATAAGACGACCTAACATATTTATGAATTGTCTACCCTATTGTCTACCATATCACGCTAACTTAGCCATAGTTTATTTGGCAAAAATACTAGGTCAACGCCCCCTTTATTATTACCTACTTTTTGGCAAAGTCAAAAAAACCAACAAGCTCAATATCAAAACCCGTTGGATAGCATTGCTACCAACGAGTAGGAAAGGAGCCTTATGATGCAGAAGTCTCATGTTCGATTCCCTAAGAAGGGAGTGGCTACCTACTCGAGCTTCACTATAAACTAAGAAAATTCCTTCTCTCACGGCTAAGATTACCTCCTAAATTTGCATATATTCTCCGATTCCCCCGAACCTAGTAAATAAGGAATTATATCATTTAGTTAGGGATTCTGGTAAGAAAATCAAAGTTTATTTATCTCGAACTAAAATACGTTAAATTTGTCCTATAATTATATAATTCAACTGATTAAGACATATTTTATTAATAGATCAAGTATTTGAAATCCAAATTTAACCCGACAAAATTCAATCCAAATTTTGAAAGTCAACTTTCAACATTTTTTTTTTTAAATTTCCCTTTCGGGAAGGTCTATCATTAATATCTAGGACATGAAAAGGTTGAAACTTTCCAGCTTTATAACATGAGAAAACGCTTAAGGGCAAATCCACCTATCTGACTGCCACGTGGCGTTTGTGGATTTGGCAGTCATAGTTTCTCCCTCACAGCTCTCTAATCTTATCACTTAAGCTATCCCAAATAAACGAACAAGAAAAGAAAAGGTTTTAGTTATAACTTGTTCAACTTTGAGTTCATTGAAAACTAAGAACAAAAAAGAACAAAAAGATCACAGAAAGCAGAGTCCCTTTTTCCTTTATGAAGAGAGGTGGATCACAAGAACAGTAACAAAAGGGCAAAGACAAACCAGGAAGATATCCTATGCTCCACGTCACCATTACCTCGTGCAGCCACATCATCACGCCGCATCAGCACGACGTAAACCTACACCATAATTTCCACACAAATACATGAGAATACAATGATTAGCTTAAGAAGAAGTCTTTGAAAGTTTAAATCTCAGAGCATTGAATTTGGTTGAGGTTGAATCTTGAAAGCCAAGAATTTCCAAGAAACTTGCTCCTCAACCAATCCAAATTAAAGAACTTCAAGAACATAACAGAACAACTCCCTGCAACGAAATAATGGAAATCAGCACACCACAAAGTGCATTGCAGATCAACTCCCATCAAGTTCAAGAAAGAAGAGTTTCGTCTTCAACCCCCATCAGGGTATTATTATCATTCTTTTCACTATCAAGAAAGCATTTCATTTTCATATTCATGTCAAAATCTATGTAGTATGGAGGTTGACTTACATGTATTTGAATGAATCTTGTTGGCTGTTGCTGCAGATTCAAGAACCGAATCTTTCGATAGAGCCTACGGTGGGATGGAAAATTTTCAGGTGGCTTTCTAGCATAGTTTTCAACGTCCATTTATGCCTGGTTGCTGTGTTGGTGATTGTTTTGACAGTTCGGGGACTTCGGTCGGCTTCTAAAACCCATCATTTTCTCCCAGAGAAGTGGTATCCGCCATTGTTGGCTTCTATTGGGAGCTCTGGAATCATTGCCTTTTCATGGCAGGCCTTCACTGGCTACTCCCCTTCAATGGCCTTCAAGACAGCCTTATGGTTCAGCCCCGTGCTATTACTCGCTTCTGCCATTTTCTTTGTCATTGTTGGATCTGCAGGTGGTTTAGCAGCAGGAGTGATCCTCGTAGTTTTTTCCCTGTGCCTGTCGGTATATCTCTGTTGGATCAATCGTCGGTTGAACTATGCGATTCAACTTTTATCAGTTTCTACTATATACCCTCCGTCGCACACTCCAATCTTGGTCATTGGATCGATCGTCATTGGCATTCTTTACGCCTCTTTCTTGGTCATCGGCATTGGTGGAGCAATTGCTGTTAAGTCTGGATTTAAAGCATTGTTCATAGCAGCAATACTGTTGAGCCTAACCTGGACTCTGCAGGTCATTAAGAACATAGTGCAAGTAACAATCTCACGCATAAAGTACTTGAATTTAGCTTGGGGACGCGAAAATAACATACGAGAAGCTTTCTACAGCACAGTGAAGTATTTGATTGGAACTATTGCTCTTGGCTCAGCCATCAACCCCCTTATCAGCTTCATTCAGGGATCTGCCCGTGCCATGAGATTGGCAGCAGGAGAACAAGATGAGTTCCTTTTCTCTTGTGCACACTGCTACTCGGCGATCGCTTCAATGCTGAGAAGCCGTGGAAACCGGTGGGGGTTCGTCCATGTTGGTGTCTACAATAAAGGGATAGTGGAGGCTTCATATGATACCTGGGAGGCATTCAAGAGGGCGGATTTGGAAATTGTTATAAACTCCGATCTCACCGTGTCTTTCTGCTTTCTCTGCGGGCTTTCTGGTGGTGCAATCTGCAGCATGATAAGTGGAATCTGGGCACTCGTAATACACAAGAGCTATGCAACAGAATTAGCAATATATGCCTTCCTGATAGGCTATTGTCTGGTAATGAGCTAAGATATTATAGAAAAAAAAAAAAAGAACTGTTCTAAACTTTAATTGAAGTTAACGAATACCTGAGAGCAATTTAACTTCTGGATGACAATGTTCATGGCTTCTGTAATTGCAGTGCCGGATAGGAATGGCGTGGCCACAAGCATGTGTTTCTGCCTACTATGTGGCTTATGCAGACAATCCCCAGCATCCTCGGTTCGACTCCACCGTGCCAGAGCAGATTCGAGACCTTCGGCGGAGATTGCAAGGTTAATCAAATCATAAACTTGAAAACAAGTGAAGAAGCAGATTTAGACCATTCCTCAAATCTGGCATGATAAAAATAAATGTCTTCCGAGGAATCTACTGAAACAAAAATGGCAGTTTTGATCTTCTTTTCTTCTCTTTCCCTGCAAATCTTGTATTCTTTCGGATTTTGTTCAAGAGTTCAATAAAAAGTTCAGGGAAGAACTTTTGTTCAGGCACATAATAAACTTCATACCTACTAAAAGAAGAACATATATTTCTGACTTCATAATTCATGCATTCCATAACTTTTAGTTCGAAAAAAGGCTTGTCGATTCGACTTACAAGTACAAATGCTGTGGGAAGGGAACACTGGAAATGATTTGAACTGAATCAAGAAAAATTTTGCCAAACTTCGATAAGGATATCCCACAAACTGCCTAAAATGAAAAATGTACACTATAGATCTTTGCTACATTGCAAGATTAATATATATCTCATCATTGCATGATCAAAGTCCAAATATTAGAGCTGGGGATAGTTCAAGAAGAATTCATTGGAAAGGAGTCTTTGCGACTCATTTAGATCCCAGGTGACCACGCCCACCGCATTCCGAACACATGGTATTGCCAGTTCCACCACAACCTACAAGCCGATGATTACAGAGTTGGGACAAACTTTTCAGTAAGTATTGTGATAACTAAACATACAGACAACTAACAGAGATGAAACAAAAAAAATTCCTTCATCTATAAGTATATTTGAATCAAATGTACGTCATAAAAAGCATGCCTAATCATTTTGAAAGCTTCCCAGCATCGATTTGTTTTTACGAAAACAAAATATATCGAAACGATTACAGGAAGATACAATATCCATATCCCATTTTCTTCTTTTCTGCGTTTGAAGTTAAACATCACATCCATGAGAGTCAAAAGAGCTTAAGTTCAACATAATAAACACAATACATTGTCCAACATAGGTATGTAACAATTTGATAAGGTCAAAATCATTCAAAGTATTGCTAATACTAATAGTTCAATAAGGAATGTAATTTACCCAGGCAACGAACTTTCACAATGATTCCCTGGCTCTCCAATATTGAGTCAACATACAAACCCGAACCGGAGCAAGTTGTGCAAAGAACAGCACCTTTAGCATGGCATTCAGAGCATCGAGGATTATCTCCAATCATTTTCTCGGCCAGAGATATTCCAACTGGCGTCTCGATTCTTTCCTCTGGGATAGCCTTATCATAGCAAAACAGAGTTTCAGAAGTACTTCTTCGTCTATGAACATCTGCACCTGAAGAATCCCCCTGCCACATCCAGAAATTTTGACAATACTCTCAAATCCATAATCTATGGCAACTATGAATGCAGAACTATTTGGAAGCATATGATTCAATAAACAATTACAAACGTGTAGACCAGCATATGACAGAAATGGCAAAACATTTAAAGAGCTTATGTTTGACGTCTAGTTATGTAACAGCCCAATCCCACTGCTAGTAAATATTGTCCTCTTTGGAATTTCCCTTTTGGGTTTCCTCTCAAGGTTTCTAAAACGCGTCCGCTAGGGAGAGATTTCCACACCCTTATAAAGAATGCTTCGTTACCCTCTCCAACCGATGTGGGATCTCACAATCCACCACCCTTTGGGACCCAATGTCCTCGTTGGTACTCTTTCCCCTCTCCAATTGATGTGCGATCTCACAATCCACCCTCCTTCGGGGCCAGCGTCCTCACTAGCACATTGCCCGGTGTCCACCCCCTTTGGGGCTCAACGTTCTTGTTGGCTCACCGCCCGATGTCTGGTTCTAATGCCATTTGTAATAGTCCAAGTTCACCACTAACAAATATTATCCTCTTTGGGTTTTCCCTTTCAGGCGTCCCCCGAAGGTTTTTAAAACTCATTTGCTAAGGAGAGGTTTTCACACCCTTATAAAGAGGTTTTTAAAACTCATCCGCTGGTACTCATTCCTCCAATCGAGGTGGGATCTCACAAGTTACCTTTCCCAAATGCTCATGAAATTAAATATTGATTGCAGAAAATTTCATTAAAGAGAACGTCAGATTGACATAATCTTACTAGGGAATTTATCGCAAATGATTGTTTTACTTATAAAAAAATCACTCCAGTTTCATCGAATGTCTCCGAGGCACTACTTATCAAAAATAAAAAACAATTGTTCTTGCAAGTTTCAATCAACTACGTCCAGAAGTTTCATGCTAAGGAATTATACCACAGAATAAAAATAACCAACAGATCAATAACTTAAAACCAAGATGCTCAGCCTCTATCAGAAAAACACAGCTTAAAGGAGCCAATTATAATAATACTACATATGCATCAAACAACCAAGTACCTTCAAATGCACGGAAATGAATGCATAATAAATTCCACTGCAATGAACTCAGCCCCAGATTCATTCATTGAATAAATAACTTACAAGTAATTTCCCGAAAAAAAAGAAAAGAAAAGAGAATCACATAACCAATTTCAAAAGTACCAACCCTAGAAGCAGAGCCATTAGGATAGACCGCGAAGATCTTGGAGAACTTTCTCCTTTCAAAACACAACTCCGCTTGAATCCTTCTACTCGAAAACAATTTTAGCGACGAACTACGCACAATGACGGACGATGACACGGCTAATGTAGCAGAATCCATTGCGCACGAAAAATGGAAATCTCCAATCAAATTGGCCTCCTAACCAAGCGCGAAAACGAAAATTGAAGCTCGAATCGAAGATCTCTCGAAGAAATCGCCAATATAATTGGTTAGTTCGGGTGAGCTTGGAGATTGTGTAATTTTTCTTGTTGTTAACGAATTGCAGATGTCAAATTGGATAATAATAAACTAAAATTTTTTAACAATTTATTTCTTTAACAATTTAATTAATGTAATTTTAATTTTATAATAATTTAATCCACGGACTTCAATAATTAAATTTACAATTTTACCCTTCGAGTTTAGTTTTTCTTTAGTCCCTAAGTTTTAAAATATTACATTTTTATCCTTGAAATATTAAATTTATAATAATTTATCATAATTATTCAATAATGCTGATTAGTTAACGGGTATAATTGAAAAATGTTAAATTTAAGGACTAAATTGAAAATTTTTAAATGACGTAGTGATATAAAATAAGGTGTCTTAATCATGCCATAAATTTTTTTTGTTGGATGACAGACCGTACCATATATGTTTGAATTTAGAGAATCCTTTGGGATTATTACATGAAGTAAACTCCAAATATTACTTAAGCGTTGCACTTGTGTTTCATTTTATTAGTGAGCGATGGTTCTCTTTAACCTGTCCCGACCATCATCATGAACTTCTAAATAGGAGGATTCGTTAATTCAAGCACACCACTATAATCACTCTAAAATTTGTGTAACAATCCCAAATTTTCTACTTGAATATATATCAAGAACATTGAATGCAGAAATACTTCATTTAACTTTCATAAAACATCACATTCATCTTAGAACACAGCTCTACTTGCGTGTTTTGAAAACATCTCTAAAACGACAATCTCGTCTCGGCCCGACACCCCCTCTCCTTTTTCCTCTGCTTCCTCCTCGTATTTATTTTAATTATTTTAATTTTCTCTTTTTATTTATTCTGTTTTATCTTTTAAATCGGTTCACAGAGTTCTGAGATAAGGAAAGAGATCTAATTCTAATTTATTTCGTGTAGCGCTCAAATATGAGATAGGACTAGAGGGAAGTGGGTAAAATTTTTATTTTATTTTTACGTAATCTTATTTATTTATTATTATTATTACTTAAACATAAATGGTTTATAATTATTTTTATATTATTATTATTTTTGCCCTATTACGGCTTTATTTCTAAACTCCTTTCCAAATTGCATGCTCAACCCAACGCTTTCCGTATTCAACTTCGTACTACGCTAAGTTAAATGATTAGTTTAAGCTAACAATCAAACTCAACGACAGCCCTTGTTATTCATTGTTTAGAGACTTTTTATAGATGAAAACATTTGATTGCATTTTTGTGCAACTCTATTATAATAGAGTTTATAGTTTTAATCCTATGTTATAATATTAAACAAAGACGATGGCGGCGGAGGTGAGAACCATGATCTGGGATTCCGTTGTGATGGAGGAACAGGTACTCGTTCTAGATGCATCCCGTAGTTGAGCTGCAGTCTCTTCTTGGGTGGTAGTGGTGGAGGTAAGAACGATGATCTGAAATTCTGCCCAAATGGAGGAACAGGTACTCGTTCCAGGTGCATCTCGGAGTTGAGCTGCAATCCCTTCTTGAGTGGTAGTGGCGGAGGTAAGAACGATGATCTGGGATTTCGCCCAGACGGAGGAATAGGTACTCGTTCCAAGTGCATCTCGGAGTTGAGCTGCAATCCCTTCTTGGGTGGTAGTGGCGGAGGTAAGAACGATGATCTGGGATTTCGCCCCGACGGAGGAATAGGTACTCGTTCCAAGTGCATCTCGGAGTTGAGCTGCAATCCCTTCTTGGGTGGTAGTGGCGGAGGTAAGAACGATGATCTGGGATTCCGCCCAGACGGAGGAACAGGTACTCGTTCCAGGTGCATCTCGGAGTTGAGCTGCAATCCCTTCTTGGATGGTAGTGGCGGAGGTAAGAACGATGATCTGGGATTTCGCCCAGACGGAGGAATAGGTACTCGTTCCAAGTGCATCTCGGAGTTGAGCTGCAATCCCTTCTTGGGTGGTAGTGGCGGAGGTAAGAACGATGATCTGGGATTACGCCCAGACGGAGGAACAGGTACTCGTTCCAGGTGCATCTCGGAGTTGAGCTGCAATCCCTTCTTGGATGGTAGTGGCGGAGGTAAGAACGATGATCTGGGATTTCGCCCAGACGGAGGAATAGGTACTCGTTCCAAGTGCATCTCGGAGTTGAGCTGCAATCCCTTCTTGGGTGGTAGTGGCGGAGGTAAGAACGATGATCTGGGATTCCGCCCAAACGGAGGAACAGGTACTCGTTCTAGGTGCATCTCGGAGTTGAGCTGCAATCCCTTCTTGGGTGGTAGTGGCGGAGGTAAGAACGATGATCTGGGATTTCGCCCAGACGGAGGAATAGGTACTCGTTCCAAGTGCATCTCGGAGTTGAGTTGCAATCCCTTCTTGGGTGGTAGTGGCGGAGGTAAGAACAATGATCTGGGATTCCGTCCAAACGGAGGAACAAGTACTCGTTCCAACTGCATCCTAGAATTGAGCTGCGATACCTTTTCAGAGCTAGCGAGTTTCAAATCCCCATTGAACACACCAATTCTTGTAGCGTGTGTCATGGGGGTAAGAAAATGAAACGCTAAAAAGATAAGAACACAAGCTCCTAAAAGCGTTTTAGAATTGATTGAGACCATTTTTGCTGTGTTTTTTCGTTCTTACCTGACTTCCTTTATATAACACGTGCTTCTTAATTTAGTTTTCAATTTCTTAATTTATTAGCTATTAAATTGTCGGGTTGTTTTTTTTATTAGATGAAAATGGTTGGTACTTTCCTAAATAAATAAAAAAAAAAAAATTGCTGTAATAAATATTATATTTTAAAAAATATTCATAAAATTTTAAAAATAGCATTAATATCATTTATCTTTAATACGTAAAAAAAACATTATGATCAACAAATTCCCTTTTATCTTGATACCTCTTAAAAATTTATGAGTATTTTTTTTTAATGGAGTTTCATTAGTAAAAGTAAAAATTATATATATATTTTTTAATTTTTAAAAAAATTTAAAAGTGTATTTAAAATTTAATGGTATTTTTTAAACATTTTTAAAGATAAAATATATTTTTTAAATAACTTTTTCCATCTAAAACTAATTCTTGGTGTATTTTTGAAATTTAAGTTTTTATTTTATATTTTATTTTTTTAAGGTTAAGTCTCTAAACGAATATATTTTAAAGTAAAATAATTTCAAGCGAGAGCTAATGCTAATCCATCTCATCGTCATACAATCTTACGTCGTCATATTAACATACATCATCATTACTATGTCGTCATCGTATCATCATCAAATAACGTTATCATAACATCATATATCATCATCACTATATCATCATCACTATATCATCATCATATCATCATAGATTACGTTATCACAACGTCATATGTTTTAGATTTAAATTACTATTATTTAAACTATTTTTTAAATTATTAAAATATGCCATATATGCGAGTTAATTTTGCTTGATATTAATTTAATTATACATGTGATATATACCTTAAATTAATTTTTTTATGTAGTTCGCCTTTTTTGTTTAAAATCTAACCGTGGGATAAACATGATCATGTATCTTAGTTTTTATAATAAAAATATTATATTTTCAAATTTTTACTAGAGTATATTGTAATAGAATAAAAATAATTTCTTAGATCCTAAATTTTCACTTACCTAGAAACGTTACCGTAGTCATCATCTATACTCATATGCGAAATTATACATTTAAAACTTTACCATAAAACGTAAACTTCATTTTAAAACATTGTCATGGACTTACGTGTTTGAAAACATCTTTAAATGACCCAATGAAAAATAAAATAAAATAAATAACTTTAAAATTAAAAAGACTCTATTCTCATCATACATCATCGTCACTATATCATTATCATATCATCATCGACTACGTTATCATAACATCATACATCATCATCAAATAACGTCATCATAACATCATTATATCATCATTATCACACCACCATCAAATAACGTCATCATAACATCATCCATCATCATCATCATCATATCGTCATTAAATAATGTCATCATACTATCATACGTAACTATTATAATCTAGCTAAAACACATCACAAGAAATAATGGACTTCAAGAAATAATGTATCCGATATAGTTCTTCCTAGTTCATGATAGCCGACGTTATTAAATCTCCAAGACTTTTTATTAATGAAAACATTTGATAGCATATTTGCGCTACTACTATAATAGAGTATATAGTTTTAATCTTATGCTATAATAGTAAACGAAGAATGTGGTGGTAGAGGTGAGTATGATGTCTCGGGATTCCGCTCAGACAGAGGAACAGGTTCTAGGTGCATCCTAGAGTTGAGCTACGATCCCTTCTCGGGTGGTGGTGGCGGAGGTGAGAAGGATGACCCAAGATTCAACCCAGATGGAGGAACAAGTACTTGTTCTAAGTGCATTCCAAAGTTGAGCTGCGATTCTTTCTCGAGTGGTGGCAGCGGAGGTGAGAACGATGGCCCAGGATTCAACCCAGACGGAGGAACAGGTACTCGTTCTAAGTGCATTCCAAAGTCGAGCTGCGATTCTTTCTCGAGTGGTGGCAGCGGAGGTGAGAACGATGGCCCAGGATTCAACCCAGACGGAGGAACAGGTACTCGTTCTAAGTGCATTCCAAAGTTGAGCTGCGATTCTTTCTCGAGTGGTGGCAGCGGAGGTGAGAACGATGACCCAGGATTCAACCCAGACGGAGGAACAGGTACTCGTTCTAAGTGCATTCCAAAGTCGAGCTGCGATTCTTTCTCGAGTGGTGGCAGCGGAGGTGAGAACGATGGCCCAGGATTCAACCCAGACGGAGGAACAGGTACTCGTTCTAAGTGCATTCCAAAGTCGAGCTGCGATTCTTTCTCGAGTGGTGGCAGCGGAGGTGAGAACGATGGCCCAGGATTCAACCCAGACGGAGGAACATGTACTCGTTCTAAGTGCATTCCAAAGTCGAGCTGCGATTCTTTCTCGAGTGGTGGCAGCGGAGGTGAGAACGATGGCCCAGGATTCAACCCAGATGGAGGAACAGGTACTCGTTCTAAGTGCATTCCGAGGTGAGAACGATGGCCCAGGATTCAACCCAGATGGAGGA